AGAGATAAAGACAAAAGATGAATAATAGTGAGAAACTCAGAGAAAAGAGAAACAGTAATCTAACCAAAGCAATTAAATGTTAAAATAAATTATGACAATTCTGTAAATATTTTACAAGAATTTTACCTAACCCAATCAAAACTCATTAGCAGTAAAATTAGTAGAAAAATGTTTCTAACATTTCTCTTTTCTCCATTATACTAGATAAACTGATAAAAACAAAACTGTTTTAAGTGTAAAATAAAAACATGCATTAATATAACAATAATTAGTAAATAGTTTTCCCCATTTTCCAATTGATATAATATTGCAAAAAGGCCCATTTTTATTATTCCAGAAAACATTTCAAGGCACTTTGACATACGAAAAAAAAAAGAAAAAAAAAAGGTAAATGCTTCTGAATATACTGAAACAGTTTTAAGATGAATTTCAAATCTATTTTCATCACATTGTTTTGGGCACAATACCTTCTCTAAGTAAAATAAAGGTTAGGTTTGAATAATCTGTGGAACAATTAAAATGAAAGAATGTATGTATCATATTAGAGAAACAACTTTAGAGCAAATCCATTTTACTTGAGTATTCAGGTAAAAAAAAAAAAAAAAAAAAAAACAACCTGAAATCATCTCATATCCAAACAATGAGTCAAACAAAAAAAAAAAAAAAAATTAAAAAATTACTCAATAGGAAGTAAGGTGAAAAATTTATTCCTCACTCTTATAACTTCAGATCTGCTACATTTTTAATATATAACAAATTAGGACATAAGGCAAGTTGTTTTTGTTTTAATTTCACACTGACGTTTATGTAAATATAGTCAGTTTCAGTTACATAAAATATAGCAAAAAAAAGATGTCAAATAATTTATATCTTGATCATCTGCTGATATATTTATCAGAAATAACATCAAATGTCAGCAAAATAAAATTTCTGTAAATATTATGGGGTCGGTATAAGTTGTTTTGTAAATTAAATTTTAAAGTAAAAAAAAAAAAAAAATTGACTGTAGAATGTTCAACTGTAATTTATCTGTATCAATTTTGTTTAAATATTGTTATTTTACAAAATATCAAAATGCCTAAAGAAATATTAAAGAGAACCTTTTCACAATATAATGCAAGCGAGAACAATGACCAAAAGTTAGAATCAAATTTAATTTTTCAACAGTTTCTTTTAACTCAAGCTTTTGTTACCAAATATAATTGTTATGAATCTTGGAAAATTGGTATCTATTATTGCATCATCTATGATGTGGAGCTGGAAACCAGAGAGGTCCACCTGAAACACGAAATATGCAGCCATGTAACAGAAACGATGACCAGCTACACCATCTCAACAACATCAGCAGTTGAGTGAATATCAACTGTTCAAAATTATAAAACTGGTTATATATATATATATATATATATATAATTAAATAATTAGAAAAAAGTATCTGAAGAACAAATTAAAGGGAGGTAATTTGTCAGTTATAAATTGCCCATCACAAAGCTGATTACCACTTTTCATTACTGCTTATTGACTCATTTAGATAAGTATTTATTTTTCTGCTTTTTTTTTTTTTTTTTAATTCCATAAGCCATTTTTCTACATCCATATCCATTACACACAAAGTTTGCAGTATGAATTTTTAAAATGATTAAACCTTTAAGTAAAACATGAAGGAATAAGTTAAATGGAAAATTGAGTATAAAATGTACAATATAAAAGAATTATTAATTAACTTATATTTCATACCCACTTTTTAATATGCTTTTCTTTTTCTAAATTATATAACTTAGTTTGATCACATGTAGAGGAATGAAGTTACAGTACCATTTTCCCCACTTTCTAATCCTATTTATAACTTGTAGGGAAAAAATAAACAAAATAAATTCAAATGCTGGATGGAGGAAAAAAAAATGAAAAAAGGTTTTCTTTCAACTTTTTTATTACAATTTTATTAAAAAAATAATATTGTAGAGAGTCAAAATTAAAGTAAAAATTATTAATCATTATAAAAGTCATGATGTAATTTTAAAAACCCTTAAAATGATATTTGCAAAGGAAAGATATATAAAGTAGCCTTCCATTATACTGAAAACAACCCATTAATATTAACCATATGCTTTGTAAATCTCAAATGATAATTAAAATTTACAAATTAATATCTGGGTATATAAAGTATGATAGCTACTAGCAAATAAATCTAGACAAACAATTTTAAAATAGTCTATTTACAATTTATGATATGAAATATCCAAACAAAATTAAAGAAATCCCCCCAAAAAAAAAAAAACGAACACAGATTAATCCAAATCCTTCCAAATAAATTCCCAAGATTTACTTCAAGAGAGATTTTGTACATTTACATATTTTTTTTTGTTTATTTTTTTTTTTTTTTTTTTAATTATTTACATCAATATTTGATACAGGATTGAAGCTTTATCTCTGAAAATGATGTTTCTTGTCAAGTGACATTTGCTTCATGAATGTTACTGACAAGAGAGTAGCAGAGGAAAAATACCAATGACAATTTAAACTACAAAATGAAATTTCAATCATGTATTAGTATCACACCTAAAACAATTTTGTAAAATTCCTTCAAAACAAGATTCTAAGAATCCAAAGAAATCAAGTGTGTTCAAAAAATTATTACATATTGAAGTTAGGTAAATAAGCATAAGTTTTATTTTAATATAAAAATTTGCAGCATCAAAATATTAGAACAAGATATTACATATTAGAAAATATTGTATCAATAAAAGAAATTATATTCAAAGGATCAAGATAAATTCATAATTTTATTTAAGAAAAATTATAGTTAGTATTAAAAAGATGTCTAAAATCATTAAAATTAGCAAATTGAAATTTTGTTTTTTTAAATATAGAAAGACTGAACAGGTTAAAGAGATTTAGCAAATACTCTCTTCATTCTAAAATTATGGCAGGGCAACAAAGACATTTACTGATAGTAGCTGCATATTCAGTAAACATTCTAAAACACTTAGATCATAATTGTTGCAACTGATTAGTTTTGAAGAAAGAAGTTTGCAAATAGGTATTTATGTATCTTTTTTTATACTCATCAACAACAGAAGACAAAACAATATTTTCAATCGTTTTTTATATTTTTAAAAGTGGATATTATTGTGAAGATTAAACTCTAAATAGATGTTAATTGCCCATATGTTATGATTAGCTTAGCCAAAAAGATTGTATTTAGTTTATAAATGGCATTAAAGGTGTTTAGTTTTTTTTTTTTTTTTAATTTCATTCAAAATGATCACTTCTGATTGAACAGAGTTGTATGAGCATGGATTTGTGAAAGATTTATTAAAATTGATATATTTTTGTCCATTTCTTCTAACAAGAATGATAATATTAGCTGTTTCCCTACAAAGAAACATTTGGCATTTATTGACCAAGTAGCCTGTCCAGGCATGTAAGATTCTGTAGATCGATACAGTTCCTCTATTAGATACATTCATCCAGTGGATTGGGAGCTTGGAAAGTGGTTTCTAATGGATGAAAAGAGAATGTCTATTGATGTGGTGATATGCTGCTGTGAGGTTGACAAAGCAGATATATAGTTTCCTATTAGAGGTAAGCAATTTCGTGGAGTTGTTTTATGACATGTTATCATTGCATCTCTTTCCAGAATGAAAACCCAAACTGGTTCATGAGGAGTTGACTTTCATAAAATGAGGAAAGCCTAGTTCATGATGGATCCAATTCAGATACCTCTGTATGTGTGAGGATCTTGAGGGCTACCTTTCTGTTTCCATAATGCATGATAGAGACTACTTTTTGGAGGTAAACTTCTGATTCCAGACTTCTTTCATAAAATAGAGGAACTTTTTTATTAAATTCATAGAGAAAGTAAGAAAGATGGAAGTAATGAAGCAAGTTTTTCAGCAGATTATTCCGAAAGGTAAAAAAATGTAACTGATTTATGAAGTTTAGGAAAAATGTAATGTGAATAATCAAATATCTCAAAACATTTTGTGAAGTTTCATCATGAAGATTTCTTGCTAAATGAAATTTCACAGTTGATAATCATCAAATCAAGATATTACTTTAAAATAATCAATGTTATTCAATGCTGAATTTACCCTAAAATGTTAATATCAAAAACTGAAAATCATTTTCACTGACAGGATTTTATTAAATCCCTTTCATGTGATGCATTCCACATAAAATATATAGTGTGAGCGTGTGTAACATAAAAAATATAATAAAAACAGGAGACAGTGTGATCCACTACATAAATGTAATAAAATTATTCTATTTTTGTGATAAACTGTGATTGGCAATAATAAACAGATACTTTACTGCAATGCAAAGAAAATGAACTACCAACAACAGTATAAAAGGCTGCTTTTTCCAAAGATGTGTAAATAGCAAAAGTGAGAGAGAGAGAGAGAGAGAGTTCACTGATATAACTTCCTTCCAAAGAGAAAAACAAGTGATGATTGAAACAAGTATTGCTACCAATTAGACCAACTCAAGCCAACAATCGACAAAATGTATTTGGAATTAGGTAAGAGAAAGAGTAATGATCTGTTAGGATGGTGCTAGACTGCATGCAACCAGGCAAAATTGTTGAAATTTAGCTGAAATTTTTTTTTTTTTTTCACTCATGAATTTGTGATATTCACCAGTTTATCATCATTTGGTCATTAGAGAAGTCTCTTAAATGTAACAAAATTAAAAATTTCTAAAACTCCGAAAAAGTACTTAGAACAGTTCTTTGGTGAGAAAGACAATTTTCTTTGAGGGAATTATGAAGTTACCTGGAAAATGGCAGAATATAGTGAAAGAAAATGGTAAATATGTTGTTTAATAAAATTAATGTGGAAAATAAAAAGTTGTATCTTAACTTAATAAGCCAAACCAATTTTTCAGAGAATCAAGTAATTAACAGTAAACTTTTATATATTCAATGTTATTTAAATCAGATCAGAAAAACAAAGCAAAAACTTAATACTAAAATGCATAGAGATCAAAAATTTGCTTACCTGTGGACATAATTTTTCAATCTCTGCAGCAGCAATACGGACCATTTTTACCCCCTCCTCATTGTTGGACATTGAACAAGCAAGATTGGCCACCTGAATATTCCAGATAAAAAGACTTTGGTTTTAAAAGTACAGCTGAGAAAAGACTGCCACACTAAATAACTGATAGCTGTCAAGCAACATCTAAAGAGATCACCAAAAGATTCCTTATTTGAATTAGTAGGTAAATCTACGAGTTAACAAAATATTATAAACATGAAAAGGAAAACTAAAAAGATTTAATTTCCCTTCCATAATAAAACCAACTTTTCATTCACTAAAAGTTTCAATTCGAATTGGTTCTCATTTCATTTTGCCTGTGAAAAAGAGACAAAAAATTATTCCAGCTAAATAAGATATCATCATCTCAGTAGGTACTTGAATTGAAAATGTCCAGCTAGTTATATGAAAGCATACACCAATGTGCAAAAATCATGGGATAAGTATCTAATATAAAGTACAATCCTCTAGCCCAGCAAAGTACAATTCAATAGGTCATCAATTCCACAAGTGGTCATAAGAGCTCTGAGATGTTGAACCATGCCATTGCAATAGTTATCCATGCATTCTGATATTTTTAAAGGTGCAGGATTTTGCATATGAATAGTCCTCTTTACCATATACCATCAATGCTCAAATAGGCATATGTTGGGTGAATATAGTGATCATACCATTCACAAGAAATCTCCAGAATTCTTTTAAAATCAATTCTGGACAACTTTAGTTCAATGGCATGCTGCATTATCCTACTAGAATAACTCACAGTCGTTGCCGGTGTACATGAAGTTCATGAATAATTACAGAACAGTGCGACGTAACAGTCACTGGTTAAACCAGCAGTCCCAACCCATCCCATGTGAACAAGCCCCAACACCATTATTGAAGCACCAGCCTGCATAGTGATTTCTCGATAACTGAGGCCCATGGTCCAATGGGATCTGAGCCACATTTTGGCACCATTCAACCAAAACTACTGGAACTGTAGACCATCAGACCATATAACATGATGCTAGTACTCCAGGATTGAATTAGAAACATCACTAACCCAGGGGTGAGTCACTGGGCAGTGGTGTTAACAGTTGCACTCTGGTGAATCTTCTACTTTCATATACCATGAAAACTAATTAATATTAAATTGATCTGTTGAATATACATGGTACATACTGTATTGAATTTGGATGGGATATGAGCTAGTGTCACTTGTTTCTTTCAACAGACAATTCTTACCAGGAGCCTCTCCTTACAATCATTAAAGATCCATAGTCAGACACTGTCATCTACAGCTTCCAGTAAAGTCTTCTGTCATATATTCCTAGCATATATGTGACACCATAAAATGATGTCAATGTCTGCACAATTTCAGAACTGAAATGTCCCAGCCATCTGGCACCAACTATCACTCCTGATACAACTGTTATAAGGCTGGAGATTTCCATGACATCAGGTACAGTGGCACCACCTACTATTACCTTTACATATGGTAAATCATTACTTTTGGCAAATGTCAAGGGAAATGTTAGCATATTCTCTTACAATTTATATCAATTTTGCTATAATCCTGAGAAAGGATTCAATACAAGAATCTGTAGATAATTATTTACACTTTAATAAAAACAAAAAATACAAAAGTAAACTACTAAACAGAGTTCATAAATGAAAAGTTAAGACTACATACCTCAACCAATTTGTTGGCATGTTCCATATACACATGAGCATATTCTTCAACACCAGATTCATCACCAGCTTTTGCAGCTTCGATCAATACCAATAATGGAACGTTGGTCTCCAAGAATGAATCAGACACATGGTCAACCACAGCTTTTCTCAACTGAAATTTAAAATATCAATATTAAAAAAGGCATCTTAATTATGCCATTCAAGGCAAAATACTGGTGTTTCATTCACAAGAGTTGCTTCTTAACTTGGCCTTACATTGATTACTATGATGAATCCAGAACAGCTCATTTTCATACATACAACTAAAATGCAATTTCAATTATTAATTATAATAAAGTTCTAACTCTGAAATTATCAGGGTCCTCATCATTATTGGAATGATGCGGACCCTGATAATTTCAGAGTTAGAACTTTATTATTATTAATTCAAGGCACCATAAAATCACCAGACTGTCAATCCAAGTCATAATACCAACCAACTGCTGTTTGGAAAAATTGAATTATGATTCAGGATATTTGTCACATACAACTAGATATTGATTATATCTAGTTTTGTATATTTGCTTCTTTTAAAATATTTTGGGTTAAAGTAGATGAACACAGATAATAGAGATGAGAAATACAGTGGTAGAAATAAGTATAAGACACCCCATGAAATTGTTAATAATTTTCTTATTACTGCACAAATTCTTCTGAAAATTTTTGTGGTACCTAGATCCAATGCTGTTAGTATACATATTCAATTTTATAAACAACTTTCCACCAAAAAAGTTAAGAAAATACGTTCTCAAGGGTGGAAATAATTATAAGACAGTTTTGAAAATTTTTATTTCACAGCAAAATTGTACAAAATTCAATATTTACATTTATTCCCTTTCAATTGTAATACTTCAACACACCTGTTTTGCATTGAATCAATAAGTTTTCTGAGAGATTCAGATGGAGTTTCATTCCAATACTGTTTAATGCAAGATTTTAAAGTTTCTATCTTCAAATTGAAGTTTATTTTTTGTATACTCTTCTTGACAAAATTTCCCAAATATTTTCTATTGGATTTAAATCTGGAGAGTTAGTGGGCCATTCCAAAACTTCAATATTTTGTTTTAAACCAGTTTTTAATGAGCTTAGAAGTATGTATGGCTGTGTTGTCCTATTGAAAAATGGCATTATTGGTCTCTAGATGATTCATAAATGGAACGAGACTTTTTTCCAACACATTCATATATAGAGTTTTGTTTCCCTTCCATCACTACTAAATCAGCCTTTCCAGTTGCAGAAAAAGCTCCCCAAACCATAACAGATACTTCTCCAAATGGTCTTTTTGAAAACAGCTGTTTCTCCTTTCTTAAATCATGCCAATAACACTGGTCACTGTCGAGCACATCCAAATTAAACTCTTTCTCATCAGAAAACACCATTTCCCATTTCTCCTTTGTCCAGGTTACTTTTTTTTCTTTACCCAATCTACGTGCAACTTGTGTTTAGCAGTTAAAGCAGGGGCTGTCTTCCTGTTTCAATACATGAGATTTGGTGATTCACGGAGAAGTTGAAGAATTCTTCTTGGAGTGATGGGTAAATTCTGAGATTTTTGCAGATCTCTTGAGCTTGATTGTCCTTTAGAAGCTTCTTGAAAAATTCGACATCTGGCTGCATTTATAATTTTTAGGTGGACGACCTGGATGCTTTCTGGTGCCATACGATTCAGGGTCTTTTATATAATTTCTCACAACTATTCGGGACCTCAACAGTTCTCTTGCAATGAAACAGATTTTCCTTCCAGTTTATAGACAGAAATTTGCCCTTTTTCATTTTTATTAAGTGGGCAGTTCCTAGACATTTTGCAGTAACTGTATTCAATTATGAAATGTTTAAATAGGACTCACGTGGCTTAAAATCATTGATAAGACCCTTTTTATAATCTGCACATGCACTTATTCTTCCTTTGGCATTCTGAAGTAAACCAGATATGCAAATTTTCAAAACTGTCTTATAATTTGTTCCACCCTTGAAAGCAAAGTTTCGTTAATAACTTTTTTTGGTGGAAAGTTGTTACAAAATTGAATATGTATACTAATACCCATCGGATCTAGGTACCACATACAAATGTTCAGAGGAATTTGTGCAGTAATAACAAAATTATTAACTATTTCATGGGGTGTCTTATACTTATTTCCACCACTGTATATAAGTGTTCTTTGTGGCCAGACAAAGATGATCCTTGAAAGAAAAAAAAAAAAAAAAAAAATTTGATTTTTGACAATTTTTTTTTCAGATTCTGAGAAATGATCAACCCAAGAACTTTTCTGCATTTCCCGATATTACACTGCCAGAAAATTCTTTCATACTCATTCCAGATTTTCATAGTTTTTTCAAACTTCATTTATAGTCTAACTTGATATTGGTTTCAGTTGTTTGAACCACAATGTACAGGATTTTTTTAATTTTTTTTATTTTACTTAACTAATAAACTCAAACACCACTTAAAGTGGTTTCTATTGGAAGAAAATAAAATAATCACTATCAGATGTGACTTAGCAATCTGAAGCTAATCAAAACATTCTTTTTTGTTTCAAGCTAAAAGATGTTTTGTGAATTTCAGTTTGTTTATATAATTCCATTTTTATTAAGTAGAGAGATCCCTATTGGATACCTCGCCACAGTATTTTCCATTTATGCCTCCATGTATATGTTCTTATTGGTAATTTACAACCAGTCAATATATTCCTTAAATTAATTATTTTATCCCCTATGTAAGTCTCCCAATAAGAGCGTCACAAAAGTACAAAAATTTATCCATATTGCATGCATCATATTTTATCCTTTATTGCAAAACATTCACAAGAGCTTATTCTCCCAGATATTTTTGTCATTGGGATTAATTGAATCTAAAAAAAAAAAAAAAAAAAAAAAAAAGCAGAAAGGTAATTTCAAAAACAACATTTTGAAAGTCAAACCAAGTTTATATCCTGAAGAAATTAGTGCCATCTTTTCCTTGGTCTATACTAACTCACCAAGTTAAATTCTCTTGAAATTTATTCAGAATCTGTTCCTCACCTGTCTTCTCAAATCTCTTGTCTTTTTGTACCAATTTTCAATGGCTTTATCAAGACCTGGACTAGGTTCTTTCTGACCAGTCTGCAACAAAAATACGAAAACATCTATAAAAAAAACAAGGAAAAATTGCCTTTATAAAATTGAAATCATTTGCAAAAACTATATTAGGAAAAGACTTAACCTATAAATATGTCAAAGTTCAAAATAATCATAACTACTTAATTTTTATAAAACAAAATTATATCTTGTAAAATCACAAGAAAATTCTTCCTTCGATGGAATAGCATAAAAATGAATAAATCTACAAAAGACTATATTAATCCTACATGATTTGTTTGAGCAAGAGATTCTTTAGAATCTATATTAGATATGCAAATTAAGAATTCTTATACACAGAATACATCAATAGGAATCATTTGATTATGAACACTTGTGAAATATAGTAGTTGAGTCCCATGATGATATCCAGCTGAGGGTAACTGAAGAGTTATAAAATCAAATATTTAATCAGTATTGGTGAATGTGATTTCTTTTAAATATTATATTTTACAAAGACAACTTTAAAAAGATTTAATAATATAGATTACAGAACATTTACATTTCATTATTATTGTTAGTAGATTATAGTTAACTAATAAATAAAACATATCCAAAGCATGGTTTTAGTACCTAAAAGGAAAGGTGAGCCAATTTCATAGTAATTTTATGCACAGGGAACTCAAGTAAAATTCATCATCTGGATAGACCAGTAAATCCAAATTTTTAAAAGTGTGCCTCAATATACTTTCAATTCTAACTGTTTCTATCAACTCTAAAACACTCAAGTAGTTAATATCAACTAGCACCTTGAATTAATTATATCTATCAAAAAAAGAAAGGATTAAAACAAGGAAATTGGACTTATGAAGTAAATCAAAAATTTTAGAAGACATAATTTAGACATAATTCGAAACAATTTTAATTAGAATTTTCAGTGATATCTCTTCAGAATCCTAAGGATTTTTTAATAAAACAATTTCCATGCAAAATTTAGATTACATATATTTACTGAATTTCAGGGTGAAAAATCCAAGATTAGAAAAAAAAAAAAAAAAAAAATATTTCTAGTTCACATTAACACAGAAAATGTCAATCTACTTATCTATCCAGTTGTAATCAAATCAGTGTTATATTGGAGATTACCTTCTTTTTTTATTGCTGTGCAACAATTACTGGAATGGAGTTTACTAGTAAGTGAATCTAGAATTGGTAGTTGGTTGGAATAATGATTAATATGAAATGTGAAAATCTTAAAATGCCAAGATAAGTAATTTGGAATTTAATAGCATACTGGAAGTACCCTGGTGTTATTTCTAATAGGCTACTGGAGAAATGTAAAACACTTAATTACAACAAAAATGAATTACTACATGGAATTGTCTGGGTTTAAACTTGGGAATTTACAAGGCTTTAACTAGTAGGAATGAGTGAAACAAAGAACATTCACCCACCCACACAGACACACACAACTAGAAAAATGATAAGATAAACCAGCAGGCTCTAAACTCACCTGGACACAATTAAAACTTAGTATTTTGTTTCATAATCCCATTTACCATTTTTGTCTTGATTGTATATTAGGTAAGGTCAATTCAGAAGGTCCTTGTTATGTATGACAAAAGGATGAGCTTGTCAAAACACTTATATAGCTCATCATTCACCACCCTTTATGCTTGCCATATTTCCTGGTGGTGATAACATAGCATCTTTTCCCATCATGTACAGTGGGGCACAAAACTAGTTCAAGTCACACTTAGTGACATCCACTGATCCACACACTTGCCAGATTTAAACCCCATTGAATGTTTGCTAATCTCACTAAATTTCCTATATCATGTTAAATAAAACCATGCATCAACTCTAGCAACTTGGCACATACTTTGGCCACTATTACTCAGACAAAAGGAGGCATTACCACCTGTTTATTTTCTATCTTTTTTTTGGGGGGGGGGTGCACTTTATATTCAAAAGCAATTTAGTGTATTTCAATCTAATATGACTTTTTCTAACAACTTAATTTTCTCTAATATCAGAATATTCTTAATTTCTTTATATTTGTTTAATAAAAATCAAGCAGAAATTTGTCAGGAGTAAGTCATGCCAACATGCAAAGCAATAAAATAAAAATAATATATACACACACACACATATATATATATATGACTTGGAAAACACACAATCAACCAATGCATTAATTTATTCATATTACAGTTCTTGTAGACCTGTTCATAACATTCTTTAGCTGTTTGATGTCATGATGTACACCTAAATTCCAATTATTAACTGAACCTTGCACAAAGTTTTAATTTCCAGTAAGTAACTTTAACATATGGTTCAAATACTCTGATTTATAATTTTATTAAATCATTTTCTACAAAACAATCACATATGCATAAGGACTTGTTTTTGAAATTAGAAAAAAATTTTTTATTCTCAAATTATTTTGAATACATCAAAAATAAACAATTTATAGTAGAAAAGCCAAAAGATAAGTTTTAAAGGCTTTTTTCAGAATATACTAATAGCTGAACATTAATGTTTCAAACAAAATAATCTGCATGTGATAACTTTATGACTGATTTCAAAATATAAAATAGGCAAAGCTACATCTAGAAAAAATTTAGTATTTTCAAAAATTGTCACAAAATAACTTAGTTTTATAAATATTTTTAAAAAAACTATGTAAATGCAATGTCATTAGAAAAAAAACCCTAAAAACTGCTAAAATGTTCAAATAAAATTTTAGCAATGTTTACACCAATTGATATTTGTCTTTAAGATAGCTAAAAGACAAATTACAGATTATTGAAGATTTTTTATATGATAAAGTGCTTAAATGGAAATCGGTATGATTTGCCTAGTTTGAATTGAAATTAGTTCTAAAGGCAATTGTTTAAGCTATTAATTCTCAAAATGTTTAATGGATACACATAAAACTAAGCAGAAAAAAAATGTGAAATAATTTTAGCATCAAAAAAAAAAAAAAAAAAAAAAAAAAAAAATCAAGAGACATGTTTAGAAATTGAAAGACAAGTTTTGTTATTTGTCAAAGAGACGCCCTACATAAATTTTAATGTAAATTATCAGAATTTGTTCCAGATTATTTTTCCTAAACTGAAACTTATTTAAAGACAATATCCAGAAAATTAATCTATTTAAGTTATAGAAGACCATTTAAAGATATACCTGAACTAAATTGTTCAGGTCCTTCCCAATATTTAGTTTTGAAAAGATTACAAATTCAGACAAAGCTTGAAACATAAAATAGCAAAATGAAGGCTATGAAATATCAAAAGAAAAAATGCTAACAGTTCCTAAGAATGAATATGATAAAAATCTGAATTTTTCAACTAACATTTTGTAGAAGTGTCAAAGAAAAAGCATGATGATGCTTTGCAACAAATAAAACAATGCTTATGAAAGGAAGTGGGCTTTGTTATCAAAAGTAGATAATATTAGTTATAAGAATTGATAAAAAGAGAGAAGAAAAAGCAATCTGTTTTTTGAACAAATTAACATGCATTGAGACAGCAACAGACACCTGCTTGGCTGATAAACCAATTCTTTCGATATTCACTGCTGTCGATGAAACGGGGGCAGAAATGGATGTGGTAGTATTGGTCATGGCAGCAGCAGCAGCAGAACTAGGAGGCGGAGTAGAAGTAGTAGCCAGGCAGATAACCTGCCTCTCAATGTCTGAGGCTTTTTTACTCTTGCACTGTGCAACAGTAATAATAAAGACAATGATAGTGGTAAACAAGTGTTAAATCACAAATAAAATTTATCATTTTCAATGATTCAGACAACTTATTTCTATTTACTTTTCATATCCAAACAAATGGATCTTCACATCACTTCCTAAAAACTAAGTTTATTACTTAAAAGGTTTACATTAACCAATCAAAATGCTTTTCATCTGTGCAAAGACCAATGAAAACTTCATCTTAATATTAATCAAAATCTATAATAAATTGTTTTAAGATTCCATTTTTCAAAAGTTGAAATTTTTAAAGGTATTTTAAATTAAAAATTTAACTACAATCTTTCTATTACTAGCAAATTTTCCATTATGCATTAATATTGAAAGAAAAAAATTATTCATCCAAGATCAGTGAGTTTTTATAAGTTCTATAGAAAAATTAAATTCATATTTTATTATTTCTGCTCTTACAATGTATTCACTAAATACTAATAATTTGATTTTAAAAAGAAAAAAGCTTTTACTAAATATTACAAAGTATTTACATTTGAAATAAAGGAATTTATAATTATCAATATCCAAAAATATGTACCATAAAATAAATACACACAAAAACCATTGAGAAGTTAATTTGCATTTAAAAATAACAAAAAAAAAAAAATAAATAAATATATAAATTTTTAGCTCAGTAAATATCAGAAATCTGCCAGTGTTAAGAAATAATAAATCTATCATTTTTATGATTTGTCCAAAGTAGTTCTTTTGGAGTCAACTTCTATAAATAAGGATTAACGAACTTTTCTAATTATACAAATAATGTTTTGGTAAATATATGTATAAATAAATAAAAACAGATAAGACCAGAGGGACTTAGGATTTCACACATCATTTACACTTAATGTGTTGTTCCGCTTAAAAAAAAAAAAAAAAAAAAAAAATGTACAATATATTTGAATTAACAGACAGACTACTATAATTTTTTTTTTTTTAAAAGCAAATCTCACACTTTTATATCCCAACATTTATCTCTTCTAACCAATCAAAAGAAAATTTGAGAATCATATCAAACTCTTCCTTTTGAAGCAATACTAAAATGTATTGTTGCATGCTCATCACAATCTTTAGCTAGTTGGTTCATCTTCCTAGTGAAATAAAAGACTTTTCATATACTTTTGATAGCAGTTGATTATGTGATCAACTTTGTGATTTCTTGCCTGAAATTTTATGTGGCTACTGAACAGAAAAATCTATATTTTTCAAAGGTCAGATATGCAAACATATCTATGAATTCCACATACTTGTAATACAAGTGGTTAGTTTACTGTCTCCAAACAGATACTGACGATACTGTTTTTTTTTTCCGATCATCTGTGACACTATTTAGTTATGGTAATTGGCTAACTAATTAACCATAGAAATTAAAAATGGGAAATACTTAAGGTGAGTAAGAGCTATATCAAAAGATAGACTGAGCGACATTAAAAAAAAAAAAAAAATTTATTTTATTTACAAAAGAAAGATACTTTTCGCAAAAGACAGAAAATCCGTAAGAAAAAGCGAGACTGTGATTCTGCCAAGATTAATTAATGTCATGGAGTGATGCACCAATATAAATAGAATTCAGATAGAAAAACAGACGACTGATGCATGTGGCCATGGAGAAAATTTGGCTTGGGACCACCCTGGAGAATAGCTATTAATTATCTTTCAGAGATATCATTTAATTTTAATTCCAGCGAGGGAAGCCATCTGGTATATGCACAAATCTTGACATGAAAAAGATAGTTGAAAAGGGGATCATTATTATTGCTTATTCAAACTGTTGACATCAGACATAGCGTCTCGAAAATGAGCATCTGGTGATAAGAGAATTTTAAGGCATGAGAAAAATAAAAGAATTTAATTATCAGGTAAACATGACCACCCAGTTAAAAGTTGACTAAGTGGATCTGAGTGTCCCCAAAATCAAGTTGTGATAAGAATTATTCAGCAATCTGGGATTTGTAAATGTTTTGGCTGAAGGAAAAGAAAAAAGATTTTGTAAACAAAATTCTCGATAATTCTAAGAGGGCCAGTCTAGCCACATCCCCACTGCCAAGAGATCATTGGCCAACTGATAGCATGGGTGGTAGGTGTAGGTGAATGTATGAGAAAGAGAAATTGTTAACACCCACTGAGGGGATTGGTATGAGATACCAATGTGAGAGAGGAAGAGTCTAGAAGATAACTCTCCTCCGACCTTCCCTCACAGACAAGGGAGAAATCCCCAAAATGGAAAGTGATTAATCTTCCAAAAATGGGAAGTAATTAATTTTCCTAAGAACAAAGAATTCTTGTTGGGAATTAAGAATTGCCAAAGAACCCAAACCATGTCAGGCCCCCACACCAAGTTTGGGTCGGTGTCCATATAAACGAGCCTCTCGAATCAGCTAGTCAATTTCAGAGAGTTCGCAGTTCTAGACAGTTCGAGTTTGGAGTTGGTTTGAGAACCAATGGCACAGTGTCATATATTGACGTCAAGACCAGTGGACATTACATATTGGCACTGCGACCACCGGTGGGTGTCACACATCACCATCAATGTAGAAAATAAGGTAGATAATTAAATCATCATTTAATCATCAAGCCTATTTTCTGGGTGGGGGGGATTAACTGCTTCTTAAATAAATCTTTTGCTAATGAGACATTCTTCTTAAATTCTTAAATTTCCTGACCAACGTTTTGTTTTTACACCAGTGCCAGATTAGCTACAAGCAATATGGAGCATTAATTGCCATAGAGTCTTTTGTTCTCTCTCTCTCTCTCTTCTAAACCATTTTTGTCTACATAAGTATGCTAACATGTCAAAATTCACTTTATTGATCTTCTGTAAAATATAGAGAAAGTGTTCATTCACTTAAAATCTACAAAGAAAGTCTTACATTTTCCATGTATTCAGTGAGCAAATCCTGTAGTGCCTGGCGAACAGCGTTACATTCCTGGATGATCTTTTCTCGACGGTCATTACGGGTGCAAGAAGAGTCAGCCAAAAGAGCTGCTCCACTTACAATACTCTCTAGACGTTCCTCCAGAGACGGACGGGTGCGAATTTCATTGTAGGACAAAGGATCCATTATTATTTTTTGCTATATAATGAAAAAAAAAAAAAAAAAAAAAAAAAAAAGGAAGTTAAACAAAAATAAAAAAGCAAATATTTAAATGTAAATAAAGCTACAATAGTGTTAAATTTAAAAATAAAATGTTCAAAAATATTTTTAATGCAAACATTTGCAGAGATTTTGATTAAACTCTCCTACAATATTAAAATGATGTTCAGATATTTTATTGATTTTTCAGTTATTTCTATCCATAGTTAAAAATAGGAAATAAATGAAGTAACAGCATATTATATTTACATCAAGTTCATTAAGTGCTGCTGCCAACTCTCCTTGACGCTCGTAGGGGTGGACATCTGAAACACCAGCTGCTTGGGCTACATCCGATATCATGTTAACAGCATCACACATCTGTTTGCAGGCATAATCACGGTTTTCACGGGCTGCAGACAGCTCAGGATGACGAACATAAGCCTTTACAAAGAAGAAATTGTTTAAATGATTAAAACAAAAGCAGTGAAGGGAATTTTTCATTTAGGAAAAACATTTTCCAAATAGATGTTTGGATGAAAACCCAAAGAGTAACTAGGTTACTTTACAACATATCTCCAATTAATTTGTAAAAAATAAAAAAAATAAGTAAATAAAAGCACTAGATGATATGCAAAGTATGAATTTATTCAAAATTTTAGTTACTATGAATTACCTAGAGTCTTGCAGGCAACAAGTTACTTTCAGAAAATTTAATCTTTCTGAATAATATTTCTACTACAAATATGGTAATGCCACAAAGTTTTAAAGCAAAAAATTAAAGATGGATAAAATTTTAAATTAGTGCTTATCCTTAGACTAAGCTATGTAAATTGATAATTATGTCAGATCAAAGCTTGGACTTACTTTCGAAGTAGTAAGTAACATCATACTGTTCTTTTTCAGGACAGCACGAGCAGCAGCTAAATCATCTCGACGACGAGGATCTTTCAGATCCTAAGAAAGAAAATATTGCCAAATGTTTTAAATTTTTGATAGAGAGAAAAAAAAAAAAAAAAAAAAAATGAAAATCCTCAACTCAAAAATTGTTACAAGTTTTTCAAACAAAAACGACTTTCTTTTGAAAATTGGAATATAGAAATAGATTACCAATATATAAACTTCATTCACTAGAATGTAAATCATATTATCGATTGACATGCAGAGATTAAAAATGAAACACTAGTTAAAATTTATTTAGACATTTGATATGAATATGTTTAGAAATAGCTCTTCCAACACAGATTACTTTAAAGAGTTATTCCCCTTGTTCTATTAAACCGAATTTAAATCCATATTCTAAACGCACATACATAGTTTATTAATCACTGCTTGGTACAACTGAGTTTTCTGTATGTCAGATACAAATTTTGAATTTAGAGTATATTTATTTTCGTTTAATAGCTGAATATTTAAGAAATCTTAAAGAAAAAGATGCGCACTCTCCAGTAGAATTCAAACATGCAATTTCCTGGGCAGAGGAAATGTCATTAGATCCAATGTGCTCTAGACCGACTGAGCTATAAAAAAAATTAACTGATCAAACAAAACTGAATATGGTCTTTAGGCGAAATTCCTCTCATCATAGACTCAAAATTTTCATATCTGCTGAGTTTCATATCCAAACAAAGCAATTTTCTAAAAAAAAAGGTAATAGATTTTTCTTTAATCTGACAGATTTTATCAGAAAAAGTTTAGTGATAAAATCTGTCAGATTAATAAAAACATCTATTACTTTAGAAAATTATATATAAATTAAGAAATTTTTAAACATTACACCAATAAAAACACTGTTTTCAGGCATACAAATTTCTTAAAGTTCAAAATTTAAAGAAAAGAAAAAAAAAATATTAACAGCCTGTCTTTTAGCAGCACGATCTGTCAACTCTTGGACACTCTTTCCAAAATCATCAAAGCTCTGCAAGAGCTCTTGTTGACTGCTAGCATTCTTGATACGATCCAAATCACTTTCAACCTGAAAATAAAATTTAAAAACAAAAGAAAAAAAAAAAAAGATAAATTTTCTGAAATTTGAAGTAAAAATCAGATTTAGATTCCCAGCAAGAAAGTTTACCTGACAACACTATTATTAGATCAACATATAGGTTTGTGTGGAAACTTTTTAGATTAATTTTCATATCTAAGAGTTTATGAGAGGTTCTCACACACACTTTAAACTACAGATTATATCAAATGTTTAATTACAAGGTAATCAGAAAACAATTTAAAAATTAATGTTAAGAAATGACATGCAAGCTAGCAATATGTACGATTTTAAAATATTTCAAAAGCAATTCTAAAAATATTTGAAAAATATGATTTGTGAACATGAGAATTTTTGATATGAGTAATTATTTTATACCGTTCTCTTCAAACTAGTAAACTAATTGTAGCAGACTGGTAAATAAGATTGTACCTATTTGCATAGCTTATGTAGAAGAGATAACGTGTATAGTAAACTAAGAGACAGGCAGAAACTTGACTACTGATCACAGGTCAGAACACAATATGGCATTGCCAATAGGATTTTTAAGTTGTTCGGATGAACCAAATCTGTCTAGACATGGGTCCATTGTTTTGCAGCCCAGGGTTAAAATTGAAAGACAACCAGGCAAGAGAGGAGTGAATGACATTACTGACCTCTTTCTAGCTTCAGCAGGTTGTGAAGCTATAATGAAGTTTCTGTTATTGCATACATCAAACAATTGGAGAATGTGACTCACTGAAATTTCAGAGATTATAAAAAGACCTAAGAATAAACTTGTCATAGTGGAAAAAAACTAAATTTCTGTCCATTAAACAAAAACAACATGAATCAGATTAAGAGAAGCTAGCAGATTCTGCAAATTTGAGAAAAATGGAACTCAAAATTTGACTATTGAGAATGGATTTATTCAATTACAGTTGATTGAAGGTATGGCTACTAAATTTCATAAATATAAAATATTGGAACAATTGCAATTGAATAATTTGTCTAACTGCAGGTGTGGTTAGTTATACATCTTGAATTAAAAAAAAAAAAAAAAAAAAAAAAAAAAACAATTCTACTGAGGAAAATGTTGAAACATACAGTATAAAAATGGAATGTAAGAAATTAACTATTAGCATGAAATTACCATAACAGAAAAAAAAAAAATTTAAAAAAAAATCATTTTTCAGTCTGCATGCAAGGCATAGGAAAAAGAGAATTGATGACCTTTTTTCTCTCAATACAAAACCTAAGGAAAAGAAAAAAAAAGAATTAAATCAAATGGCATGACATTTCCAATGCAAGTGGATATGGGGAGTGAAGTCACTATTCCCAAGTAATTTCTAAGAAATAATGGGTATCCCAAAATTGAGAAAAAGTCATCTGAAATTGAGACAATTTGATGGATCATTTATAAAAATATTGGGATACTTCAATGGAACATTTGACCGATTTGAAATTATTAGGTATAGATGTGCTAAAGGTGAATACATCAAAATTAATCAGTAACATAAAATCAGAAAAAGTAAAAATGGGATTGTTAAAGGGGCATAAAGCAAGTATACAATTAAATGAAAATAGTACCACCTCTTATTTTGAATCTCATAAATAACCTATTTACCATCTACCTTTGGTAGTTGCTAATTTAAAGAAAATGGTAGCGGTGGGAATGTGTTCCTACCAGTGGCAGTAAATGGGAGTCTTCCATTGTAGACTTGCAAAAAGCAGACAGGGATTTAAGAACATGTGATTTTAAAATAGGTGTAAATCATAAAATACGTTCAGACTTTTCCTATTCCCAATATCAAAACCACTATCCACAAATTATCAGGCATGAAAGGTTTTGCAAAAAACGATTTAAAATCAACCTACAATCAAATAGATCAACAATAGATTCAAGGAAATTACCACAACAAACACCACCACAGGATTATGTAGCAAAACAATTCTTCACACATCCTTAAGAAAAAGAATCTATCTATTTAAGTCAATTTAATGACCAGGATTTCTTAGGAATCGTGTATCCAGTCCATCTTTTAGTCTATTTAATGGCCAGTATTTCCAGCCAACCTTTGAATTGGCTAACATAAAATTTTGTTAGTGATTTTAGATAACCATAAAAGTAGAGCCCTTTGAAAAACTGACCACCCAAAAGCTGAATGGGTAGTCTCCTTTTCTGGAACACAAGTGAACAAATAGGGGTGGTGGCACCCCAGCCACTATCCATATAATGTGAGTCAGTGAGGAAGGGACAAGCAGTGAGGAGTCAGCAGTCGCTGATGGTCAGTGAATGTCACTTTTCTGTGGCTGGAAGTTAGTGAGACAGCAGTTCACTATCTTGAAGACAAAGGAAGACATTGCCAATTAAGTGAGAAATCGTATTGTTTGCTATTTCCCCCAATCAGTATCTTCAAAAGCATTTGTCGTTATTCTTTGTTGAATTGGATCACAGCCAGTGAGACAAACCTGTGAACATATCAAGTCAGGTGTATACACACATACAACCGATCTTGGGTGTCATCACAGCTTGTGATGTGTGGAAGGCACCATCACAATTAAGATGGATGAAAATGCCTTTTGAAATGAAAATGGCAAGTGCTATTTTTCAGAGAGCAATGGAAAATGTTAACTGATGAAATCAGTAATATGATATTTGCCATGGTGCTACCACTAAAGACGAGTTGAGACAAAAAAAAAAAAAAAAAAAAAAAAAAAAGCAGAACATATGTTAAACAAGTTAAAAAATGCAGAGATGACAAACCGAGACAAATGTGAATTTTACTGTGATACAGTATCTTATTTTGGGTACCAAGTTTCAAAAGATAGCATTGCACCAGATCCAAAGTTAATCGAGAAAATTTCAGAGGTATCTATAACTACTAATAAAGAATCCGAATCCTTTTTAGGATTGGTTAATGTTTATAATAGATACCCTCCCAAAATTATGTAAACTATGGATGCAAATGAATAAGCTGTGTCAACAATTTTATCACAATAAGGCCATCCAATGTACTTTCAAGAAGATTGATGGCAACAGAAATAAATTAAAAATATTGAAAAAGAGGCATTGGCCATTGTCTGAAGCAGAGACAGAGGTCAACAATTCTTATTAGGAAAGAAGTTCCTATTAAAGTTGGACCAAAATCATCTAGAGTTTATTTTTAACCCTAGAAAGGAGCTATTAAAAGTTATTTTTTTCCAGGATTCTAAGATGGATCATAAAATTAATGGCTTATGATTTTGACATCAAATACGTAAAAGGAAATTCTATACCATGTTGATGGACTGTCAATTTAATAAGGATCAAAAAGAAAAAAAACAGAAATTCCAGATGAAAAAATATTACATTGGGTTGAAACTGACATTATCTCTACAAAGACTGGTATCGGAACTCTACAAGATCCAATATAAACAAGATTGCTGAAAGAATAAGAAGAAACAGGTGGAGTAATTGTTCCAAAGACATAAATTAACAATGGAAAACAGGGTTATATGCAATGGAGATGTGATAGTACTACCAGAAACAGTAAGAATGTATATTTTAAAAAGTGAAAATGATGTGTATTGTGGGATAACGACTACACAGGAGATTAAAATTGGAGGCATGATGGCCAGGGTACAATCATGATATAGAAATATGTACACAAATGTCCAAAATGTGCAAAAATAAAGAGTTTTTGTCAAAGGAGACTACTCATGGCCTAAAGAAACAGAATCAACAAATAAAACGATGTGATATAAGGAAGACCAAGTAGCAAGTCCTGAAAGAGCTAATTTCATCATGCAAAGGGGACATAACACAGCCTTATAAGAAAGGAAAAATCCAAATGGCACAATCTGACCAATTAAAACACAGAATTGAAGACATCATGATGGAAGAAGACTTTGACAGAGAAGAAAGGATGAGTTTTTCAGATCAGGACAATACAATAGAAGATGAGCCCAGGAATAACAGTGAAAGTAACTCGGACACAGAAGATGAAATGTGACCAAGATCTCCATTAAAAAGAACAGGAGATAAACGTCAAAGTGGAGAAGAGGAAAGGGGTTGTAGAAGTTTGAGAACAACCAAAAGCATTAAATCACTTCAGTTCAGAAAGGCGTAGTGGATTGGTAAATAGGATTATACCTATTTGTATATGTCAAGTAGAAGAGATAAAGTGTATAGTAAAGTAATAGACAGGCAAGAAGTTGACTACTGATCACATACAACACTCATCTTGGTGGTTATACTCAGTGTTACAGTCATTGTATACTTCAGCCTTCTTCCAGTCTGTCATACTTGATAAGCATTAATATAATGCAAATTTAAGATTTTAAAACTTAAATTCTCTAAATTATTCAAGTTGAATATTCTAGAATGTTGTAATAATGTTATCAGAAGTTATTTTTAGCCTAAAAAATACAAACAGAACATTCTGTAATTGATATTCATGCAAGAAGGTTATCATGGCAAGCGGTAAAGAATTGACAAATTCGCAAAAAGAACCAATTGTTAAGCTCTGGAAAGAAGGTAAAAGTAACAGGAAAATCTCAGAAAACCCAAATATTCCATTTACTACCATTAGTTCATTCATTGCATGGTATAACAAAAAACTCAAAACTGTTGAAAACGAAAAAAAGAACAAGTGCTCCATAGAAGATTTCTGTAAGATCTTTGAGGAAATTAATGTGTCAAATTAAACAAAATCTGATGGTTACTCATCAAGAGTTGTACAATGATTTACTTTCATCAGGAATCTGTGTCACTAAACAGACAATAAGCAATGAAATTCATAGGAACAATCTGAAGTCACACTCCCCTCAGAAAACTCCACTGCTATTGAAAAGACAGAGATGCCAGGTTGAAATTCACCTGGGAACATAAAGATAAAGAAAAATTGAATTGGGAAAGAGTATGATGAACAGATGAAACCAAAATTGACTTGTTTGGATACAATTCTAGAAATCATATACAGTGGAACCTCGGTTCACAAATTTAATTCATTCCTGAAGCCAGTTTGTAA